AAGAATACAGTTCGGATATTTCATTGTTGCTTCTGTTTGTCTCAAAACCCTGTACATTATGTGAGATGTTTTGAAGGAATTTGGTACAGTTGACAAATAGACTGAGATGAGATGAGAATAGAGTAACAAGTGAGAAGCTATTGATAAGTGGATGTCAAGTGAGAATTGAGAGGAAGTGAGAGATTTTTCAAGAAGATGGATTAATTTGAATTTTCCTGTACAAGAGAGAATCACGTACATAAAAGTCCATGTTTGGGTCAAAAGTTGATGTTTTCATTGTCATCGAATCTATTGCAACTTTGGTCGTTGCAATAAACTCAAATAAACAGGAAAATGTCGATCTTTTTATAAGATCTCATTAAACAATAAAAATACAAAAAGTACAACTCTTGTCAAACAGCGCAACGGACGTTTATCACCCGCTGCTTGCGTGAGATCTTTACCTGTGCCGGGGACGTTGATATCCGTGGACCGCCGCGGATCAGATCCGGTTGACAGATTATGGAATCAAAGCTCCTACTTCACGAAGGAAGTATTCGCTGCAGCGATAATCTCGACCAAGCGAGATTACGGCTCTTCTCGAGATTAAGACTAAGCTTAAATCCGGAGGAATAGGGTACGGGTCTCAGATCTCTCGAACTCCACTCTTTATGCACAGGAACTCGCTAAGATCCGCTAACCCTCGCTGTAAATTCGTGACTCCATTCTCCAATTTGGCAGCGTTTCGCCCTCTTGATCTCCTCCCTCTGAACTGAGCCCTAGGCCTGTATTTATAGGCTTCGGTTGAGGGGTTATCGGATCAGAATGAGTGATTTGGCCTTATCTTCAGTTAATAACGGCCTAACCATGTTTATGGATGATATCAAGTCAGTTGGGAACCCCTGTAACAGATGAATCCCGAGAAAACCGCTTAAAACCGTCGAAAACGCGTTTTGGGGTCGGAACTACACGATACGCCCTGCTGACCCACGCGGGCGCGGGTCCGCTGCGTCCGACCGGCGTGGGCACGGGAGTTTTGTCCTTTGGTGTTTTCCGATTTTCCGGGACTTGTATTTTCTACCGTTTTACGTATTTGATCGTCTTGTTGACTTGTACGCATTGTTAACTTGCTTCATGTGTTCATTAGCTTCTTCACGGCACTTGGAGTTGATCGATACGCGCGAGCTGACTGATGAGTGCGTTCGGTCACTTGGAGCTGACCGGCGCGCGTGGGCTGATTGACGAGTGCGTTCGGTCACTTTGGATCTGACCGATAAGCGCGTCGAGCACTTTGGATCCGCTTGACAGGTGCGTCGGGCACTTTGGATTCGCCTAACAGGCGCGTCGGGTACTTTGGATCTGTCTGACAGGTGCGTTGGGCACTTTGGATCTGATCGATGCACGCGAGCTGACTGATGAGTGCGTTCGGTCAATTGTGGCTGACTGACGCGCGCGGGCTGACCGACAGGTGCGTGTTGACTGACGTACGGCTGACTGACGCGTGCGGGCTGACCAACAGGTGCGTGTTGACTGACGTACGCGCGTTGATTGAGGTGTGCGAGCTGACTGACGTGCGCAGCGGCCAATTGGATAATTCTTCTTGAATCGTCTACTCTTTGTTTCGAGCTGTGTGCGGACACCTATCGGCATTTTTAAACGCCTACACTCCAGTTTTCACCTGTATAAAAATTCAAAATTTTCACCTTATGGCTAGCTATCTGATTTTTAAATTTGATGTGGAGACTTCGGATAGCTTGAGATCAATAAAAATGAACTTGTGATTTAGTGAAGAAATTACTGTCACGAGAGAATGAGAGTGTACAAGTTTAATGTATATTAATTAAATTTGTTTTTTTTCAGATGAAAACAAGATTTTTATTGATATATTGATGTATGTTCATTAGTGATTTTCAAAGTTATAGCACCTATAATGTGGGAGCTTGTTAGAAATAGTACTGATATTTTAAATTTGTTGCCCATCCTACAATTGATTTCATAAGTTTGGTTGCCCGTTATCTCCTGATATTAAAAAAGTGTGGATAACGAATCCATGTACCTACATATGGAGTTAATTAGGGGTGTCCAAAAAGCCCGGAGCCCGGGCCCGGCCCGGTGTCCGGCCCGGGCCCGGGCCCGGCCCGGGCCCGGAAACCCGGGCAAAACCCGGGTCCGGGCCCGGGCCCGGGTCGCCGTTGGCGAACCCTGTCCGGGCCCGGCCCGGGCCCGGAACAGTGCCCAAAAATGGGCACTGGCGAGGGTTTTTTGGTCATTTACCTAGGGGGCTGCTTCTATAAATAGAGGGGGGGTTTCAATTCATTTTCTCACAACAAAACTCATCTATTTCTCTCTCTACTACTCTCTTATACAATCTTATACTATCTCATACTAATATACTATCCTATAATCTTTTGTATTTTCTAATACTTCCAACAAATGGCTTCTGGGTCTGATTATGAAGAGCAACATGCAACTCCTACCGATCCAGAGATGAGTCCTCCTACAACAACTCCTCATCCTACCGGTGTTAATCCTGAATCTGGTGGCGACGAATCTACGGCACCAAGAGCTCCAAAAAGGCCGAGGTCTGATGTATGGAATTTTTTTGAGAAGATAGACGTCACCAAGGATGAACACGGTAGGATCATCTCTCAGAATGCGAAATGTGCGTTGTGCGGCCAGATATTCAAAGCTCATCATAAGAGCGGCACCAACCATCTCAAACGGCATATTGAAAAACACAACAAAGGCCAAAATCTACAAGGTGATATCCGGCAGTCTATGCTTTCCCAATCATCCTCTTCAGGTACCCTCGGCAGTTGGAATTATGACGCTGCCCGAGCCCGGAAATGCGTAATCAGGTTTATTGTTCTTAAAAACCTTCCTTTTAAATTAGTAGAAGATGATGAATTTGAAGATTTATTTAGAGATGGTTTTTATCCTGCATTTACAAAATTTTCTCGTCAAACCTGTCAACGTGATATTTTAAAATATTATGTTGAGGAACAGGGAAAAATAATTTCTTATTTTAAAAATTTAAACTGCAAATTTTCTTTAACTTCTGATATTTGGTCATCTAGAGTGCAAACTGGTTATTTATGTATAACAGCACACTGGATTGATGAAAGTTGGAAAATGTTTAAAAGAGTTGTTTCTTTTATTGCAATTGAAGAGTCACACACTGGTATTAATGTTGCAAATTTAATTGTTGAAGAACTTATGAAACTAGAAATTGATCAAAGAATATTTACTCTTTCACTAGATAATGCAAGTAATAATAATGTAGCTGTTGATTTTCTGAAAATAACTTTGTCATTGCCATGTCATGGTGAGCTTTTTCATGTTAGATGTATCTGTCATATTTTAAATTTAATTGTTCAAAGTGCATTTTCTGAAATTAAACCCATGATAGAAAAAGTTAGAACAGTTACTAATATGCATAATGCTTCTGAAATGAGAATTAAAAGATGGAAACAATGTTGTAAAAGAAAAAATTATAAGCCTAGACTAATTCCAAAAGATGTTGACCATAGGTGGAATTCCACCTATGCAATGTTATCTGTAGCAATAGAATATAAAGAAATTATAAATGATTTTATAAATTTTTATGCTTATAGTTCTAGCTCTGGTAGTGCTTATGGAATAACTGAAGAGGAATGGACTGTTATATGTAAATTAAATGAGATGTTACAAGTTTTTTATGATGCTACTATGTTATTATCTGGTTGTTATTATCCAACTATTACTTTAGCTGCTTTACAAATTTTAAATATTCAAAATTTTTTTACATGGATGATACTTTTGGAAATATAATTTTTCAAATGGAGAGTAAATTTAATAAGTATTTTAGGCCTATTCCTCATATTTTTGGTATTGGTGTTCTTATTGATCCATGCTTGAAGGAAATTGGCCTTCGAAGTTTGTTACAATCATTGTATGGTGGACAGATTATAGACTTAGATGATGGATCCACCCTTACTGCTACTACTCATTATTTAGCTATTAGAAATTATTTTCAAACCTTATATGATGAGTATGCAGCTAGATATGGTGTAGCTACACAACAGTCTTCAGCTTCGGCACCTTCAGCTTCGAGCACAGGTCGAGGTAAAAGTGTAAGTTTTGATAGGTATGCAATGGTAGCTGAACTAACTGGTGGATCTGGAACTTCATCAGGATTAGAGGTTTCTGAAATAGACGAATATTTATCTGCTTCCTTAGTTAAATGTCAAGGAAATGCTTTAGATATTTTGCAATGGTGGAAAGTATATGGATCAGTTTCATATTCTATACTTTCCACCATGGTTCGTGACTTACTATCAGTGCAGGTTTCGACTGTAGCCTCGGAATCCGCTTTCAGCACAGCAGGACGTTTGATCGACGACCACAGGACATGCTTAGATCCGTATACTGTACAAGCGGTGATGTGCTTACAGGATTGGTGGAGATACGAGAAGCGAACACAAGGCATCGAACGGATTGCTATGATTGAAGATAAATTTGAAGAGTTGGGACTAGCAGATAGATATAATGATTAGATAATATTCATAAAATTGTAATTTTTATTTCTTAGCTTTAAATTTGAATTAAATTATTTCGAAAAAAGTTGCAAATGATAGTGATATGGGTGAGTAGGTGCCAACCTAGTTGGGATGTACTCATCTATTGTGATGCGACGAATTTCGAAATAAATTTATACTTGTAAAGGATTTGTAAAGGATTTACCGATTATTAATAAAGAAGTTATTTTTATCATTTTTTGTACTTGTAATTTATGTCATTTCATTTCAAGCTATTAATTAAATTTATGACATTTTTTATAATAATTTA